ACGCTTACCTGTAGGGGAAAGGTGGAGCCCGTCCCATCCCAGCATGGGATAGCATCTGATAGCATCTGATAGCATTTGATAGCATCTACTGTGACTCTCTGCACTGAGGACTAGTGTAGTATGACAAAGATATATAGTATGAAAGCCTCATAGTTTGGTTGTTTATGAGAGAGCAAAACACTGTGAAAAGATAACTAACATTACAAATAGAGACATAATCATGGATATTTCTTGAAATAGTCCCTAACACTTCAAAAAGGTGGGGTGGAGAGAATACCTCTTTCTGGTAAAGAGACAGTGGAAGGGAAATTGCACAAAACTCAAGTTTTAACCCCATCACAACCACTGCCAAATTGGCAACCATGGTAATACTGTAACAGTTGTGATGGCATGAAAGATTGAACTGTGGAATTTTCTAGAAGAAAGTGAGCAATCCTGAGAAATGGACTCTGTCCCTCCTACATGCACCTGAACATGAATGATGCATGCCCCCAGTAGCTGGGGGGGCATGGTGGTGGTGGGAGCATGGTGGCTGTGGCAGGAGTGTGGTGGCGGTAAGTGGGGGAATTCCTGCAGATGCTGCCAGCACTGTCAGCGGCAGAGTGGGGGGTGGCAAGTGCAAACCAAAGGTTGGTGACCACCCGCAGCCACCACCGGTAGCAGTGGCAGCGGCCAGTGGGGATCGTGGACCACCCTTTTGTAGGGGGTGCACTGCCATGCTCAGGTGGTGCATGTGCAGCTGGATGCACCCCTTATGCATCACCCCTGCACCTGAGAGCATTCAGTCATGGTGATCCCATGGTGTGGCAGGGAAGACTCTGGAGGAAGACTCTGGAAAGGATTCATTCTGCCTTTCCAAAACAAGGTGTGTGTCTTATTTGGGAGCATGCAATGTGCAAGAAAAATATGGTATACTGAGGAGAAGGCATCCTTTCTTTTTCCAGAGGACAGTAAACCAAAAGGAAACAGATAAATCCTGATGTTGTGAACTAGCATCTTTAGCAAGGAACAGCTTAGAATCCAATCACATTGGTTTCTGAGGAGAGCTAGTTACAGAAAGAACTGAAAGTCTTGTGAAATATAACATTTGAAGCTAGAGGTGGTCTGGGTCCTTTTTTTTTGTAATTCACTGAAGAAAGGGAAATAGCATCAGCAAAGGGGGATAACATTCATTGTCTGGCGTATACTATTTCGTTTTCCCAAGTTACACCTGATTAGAAAGGAAAATCAGTACACTGCTGCAACCTCACTCTGATATTTAAAACAAACCTTAGCAATTTTCAAGATAAACTATGCTTCACTTAATTAAGAGGAAGGCAGACTGATACATAAAGGGCAAAGATGTGTCTGGGAAAGAGGGAAGAAGCTGCCTGGCTGGTAGACTGAGAAGCCTTGAAAACAGACAGATTTTAAATGCCTGCTCAGCTGCCTATGACCAAAGGATGGCAAGATAGAGAACATTATTTATGAGGACAATAACATATTATAACATATCAAAACCAAAGTAAACCTAGTTTATTTGTAGTTCATATAGAGTTTCAATCTAGCTATGATATCGAAGGCTACATATACATCTTCAAAGGACCTGATAAAATTCTCCTGGATTTATCTCTGGGTAGAATATCTTACCTAGAAATGCCTGAACAGACATTTGGGTGAATCTGATATCTTTTATTAGACCAACTTAAGTAGTTGGGAAAAAAAATTCAGCAAGCTTTCATGTTCAAGATCCCTTCATCAGGCTGAGGAAGTTTCAGCAGTTGATGTGTGCTGTTTCTGGATGCAATGAAAAGTAAAGAAGCCAGAGGCTGGGCTGGTATGCATACAAGACAGAAACAAGGAACAAACTACAATGTTATTGACCAAAATATTTGTAATTATATTATGGCTGTTTCCCATCATGCCTTAAGTTGCATGTATGGCAAGGCATCAGGTTACTGCCATTCACTCCCAGGCACCAAGTGGCTCCCATGAGCTCCTGAGGCTGGAAGAGCTAATCAGCTGACTGGCTTCTACTTTCTGATGGAATCATGATCCCTGGCTTCCCTTGCACTGCCATTAGACACAATTAGGATCTGATCTCCAATCCCACAATCACACCTCCTTCCATGCATGATGGGAAGCAAGATAGTTGGGATTGGGCATCAGATTCTATGCCGCCTTTAAGTGAACATCTGCCCCAGGATCAATGTCAATCATAGGAACTACTCTAACATGTTAAGGCCAGTTAGTCTAACATGTTGAGGCCTGAACTGGCTCCAGGAATGAAAAATAAGATGCTATACAGCCTGCTTTGCTCACCCATCTTGGGTGTTGTACGAGCCCTAATTCTCTGATTCTATGTCAGAGTGCCTGTGCTATCTCAGATGCATTGTTCATATTACCTGCTCTTCTGCTTTTGATGTTCCATCTTCAATGCACATACTTGCTGGCTGCGTTACTAGGGTGACTTCGAATCTATTTAGAAAAAAAAGCCTGTAGCAAGTTAAGAAGTATTTGGCTTTCTTTATATAACTGCCTATTCATCTCTTTCCTGTTTCTTGTTTCCAGTTTTTTCATTAACATTTTTTTCAGTCCAAGCAGCCAGAAGCAGTGTGAGCAAATAAAAATACAAGGTAGTAGAATAATCCTAAATGACCAAGACACAATATAATTAACAAACATGTATTCTTGAGTTGTTACTGTAAAAAATACCACAGTGTGTTAGCTGCCTTTATCCCATGAAATCTAAAGAATTTTCTTAATTTTTTTATAAATTTCAGTTTGCCAGAGTAAGTAATCTGTCACAGGTATGGACATTTCTCTATTACATTGAAATGGTTTAGCACATATGACCAAATCCTAGAATATGTTTACCTTCTTGCGTCAATCAAAATACAGTTTTTCATTTAGTTTTCCTCTATCTAATAGCACTATTGTTGAGTCAAAGAAGGAATACTTGATCTAAACATAGAAATTCATAATCAGGTTAAAGGAACAAAGTGATGACAACAGATGACTTTGTGTGTAGGTTATTTTTATTTATGTTAAGGTTGAATGCCAGGCTAGCTATAAGATCAGCTCCTGGTTCCCAGCAGTTAGAAGTTAGTTTGATTCAGGACAGCCAGTGAAAAAAGCAGATGAAGTATTAAGCTACTCCTCATTTTGAAATTTTTGCACTGTCTACAAGTTAAATCTGAATATTAAAAGAAAACTCATTAAGTTTTACTAATTTTATCAAAGATAAATCTACTTGACATGTAATTAACTTAAAATCGCACAAGCTATAAGTGTACAATTGTATTTTACTACATTAAACGTCTAATGAAGTTTATGCAATGTGCATTTAATTGGTATTTAAATATGTAATTGGAGTAAATTGCAATTAATAGCAAAAATTGTTAATTGTTAAGTCCATGTTAATTAGTATCTAACTCAACAGAGTGAAAAGGTTGTATATGGGACTTTTATGCAGAAACAAGGTAGTTGTATGATCATTTTTCATTACATCTAAGATTTTTATGATTTCTCTGTATTTGTCATTTATAAAGTCTCCACGCTTCATCTTAATTAACTTTCATATTCTGTGTTCACAATAAATTGTATATGTACAGTTTAGCTATTGTTATTGGAAATTAAATTACGGACAGAATGCTTTCTCTCTTCTCAGCATTTGTAGTATGTGTTTTAGATGCAGATATATTTGAATTCTGCATTCTTTTTCACTTCCCATCCTAATTATTTATTGTTAGGGGAGGCTGTTGAAGAGTTGCTGAATTCTGCCCTAACACAGTATTTAGTTCTGACAAAAAAATGATGGCAATGAATAATGATTTTCCTTTTTTACCTTTTGGCATATTCTATCAGTCAGCTGCAAAATTTGGAACATGAAATGATGTTTTTGCTCCTTAAAGATGGCAATGAAACAAAACCAAACCAATTACCTTTGTTTTCAAGAGCATGAAAGTCTATTTATATAGGGAAATGGAGATCCATTTTCATATATGATTTATTTTGACTTACAAATGGTTGGGGCAAAAACTGGGCCCAAAGGAATGTCATCTGAGTTCTTGAAAACAGGATGAGCGTACCTTTGTCACTACCTGGGCATGTCTACATATGCACTTTAATGAGCATTAGTCTATTTTAGTAGCATTAAAGTGTCACTTTAAAAAAACATGCTTTTTAGTTTTTAACCCATTAGAATAGGTTAATCCGCATTAAGCTTTACTTAAAAACTATGGGCTTCTATATAGATGAAGGGAAGTTGCTCTGATGCGCTCTAAGTACAGTGTATCAGAGCAGACTTGATTAATCAAGTCTGCTGGAGCATGGTAATTACTGCATTCCAGCAGACTCCAGGGCCATGTGTAACAGCATCCCTACACTGAAAAATGACAGCAGTGTGCTTTAACCTAAAGCTTGTTTGACAAGTTTTTGTTCAAAGCGCCCTGCTTCCATTTGTCAGTACAGGGATGCTGACAACATGATGGTCCAGGAGCTTTAATTAGAGTGTCTTTTGGAGCTGCACTAATTAAAGTGCTCCTCCTTCCCCCGCCTCCCCCCCCCGAGCACTTCTATAAATTCATGGGGCATTTATACATTAAAACAAGCTTATGCACATTTTCCTAGTACCTCACAATGGAAATACTAGACTTAATGTACATTAACTAGAGCACATTAATGCATGTGTAGATGCACCTCTGTGAACCAGATTTCACCATAAAAAGGCTGATTCTTGGAATACATTTGCATTATCTACTTGTACTGAAATACTGACCCCTATCTAAAATAGAATCTCAAAGTCACTGTACGTAATAAAAAGAGCCACAACTAGGTTATAGGTAGCGCCTGGTTTAAATGACACTAATAGCATAGCTCAATTGTAGCAAGGAGCTCCATTTTCACACCCAGATCATAGCACCCCCCACACCCTCTGGTTGGCAAGGGGGCAGATTTAGGGCCAGATTTAATTGCAGCAGCAGAAGCCTTTCTCCCAACGCCTCTGATTGCTGTTAAAAAGCAGCCTGCCTCCCTGCTTCATTGGAAAAGCCAGGAACAGCAGCCCAGGGAAAGGGGGGAGATGTTGTAAAAGGGGCAGGGGGAGGAGAGAGCTTTGGAATGAGTAGGGGAGGGGGGTCTGTTTGCTCCTCTGGGTGGGAAAACTGGGGCACGGGGGGGCCAGGGGCAGCTTGGGGCTGCCTTGGCAGATGGCCCTGACACCAGATAGGGGAGGGGCTGTTTGCTCCTCTGTGCGTGTTCTCTCCCCCATCCCTGATCCCCAGTGCCCCAGTCTTCCCTCCTGGATGGAGGGAGAGAACACATGCATGGGAGGAGCGAATAGCTTGTCCCCTACCTGGTTCCAGGGCTATATATGAAGACAGCCTCCCAGGTGCTCCCAACCCTCTGAACTCCAGTTTTCCATCACAGAGGAGCAAATAGTCCCTCCCCTAATCATCCCCAAACTCTTTCCTCCCTGTGTCCCTTTTGCAGCCCCTTCACCCCTCTCCTGGGCTGCTAGGCATTTACTGCTGGGTAGGGAATGCTTTCCCCAGCCTGCAGCAGCCATCTTGTTGCAACAAAATACTAGGATATGGCTGCTTGGTGGGAAACTCCCCAACAAGTGGCCATATCCTGGCATTTCATTGCTAATTGCATTTTTCATGAAAATTACTTAATTTCATGATTTTCATGAAAAATGGAAAATTACAATTCAAATCAGGACCTAGTTATTAGGCGGTACATTGTTGTGTTATCAAAGAAACTGTGAGATACAATAAACTCTATCATATTCCCTACTAAGAAAAACATAATAAAATATTTTATTATGTGGATATGAACACCTAAAGCCTAAAATACATTTATGGGCATAAATACATACATGCATATCCTGACATATTAACAAGATTAAATAAAAAAATAAAAGGAAAACAAATCTTACTGTGTGTAAAGTCACACATTGATAAACATTCCCAGGAAGGAGGGAACTTGAATAATAGTTATTTTCTCAAGAGGAGAGGATCCATAAAAAGATTTCAAACTGTGGAATCAGATTTCAGGCTTTAAAGAGGTTCCTGTTACCTGGTAAGCAGAATAATCATTCAATCCCCCCAAAATAAAACAATTCCTTCAACATTTGTCCCGAAGCTGAGATTCTTTAAGACCATCCTCTTTCTAAGGGAAGAGAGAAAAAGGAAACAGCACAGACATGTTTATGTACTCACATGAAATAAAACCATACGAATGTTCAAAACAGAAAACAGATGGTAGATCCCAGGAAAGCCTAATTGTGATTTAGTTCCCATTATGTCGGGTGCTTCATGAGCATGGGAGAAAGACCATCCTTGCCCTGAACAGTTTTTACGTCAAGGAGCATTACTCAAACCAGAATTAGAGAAACGGGCCGCGTTTACATGAGACATTGACTGCGCAGGAGCTCATTACTACAATGCAGTAGCATCGTGTTGCACAAAGCACGGTGCAAAGCTACTGTACAGTAGTAATGAGTTACTGCACAGTCAGCATCACCAAAGAGCCATTCAGGGATGCTACTGCGCAGTAATGCCGGTTATGACACAGTCATTTAGTACTTGTATATGCAAGTACTAAATGACTGTGCAGTAACAACTGCACAGTCAGCATCTCATGTAGACGCAACCACAGTGGCCTTAAGAATCAATTCCTTTTCTGTTTCCCAAAACCTACCCAACCCAGAGTAATTCAGTACTATTTTGTATCAGTTACCTTCCTTTCTTTACTGCCTCAGCTGTAATGGCCAGGGAGTTTGGGAGTTTCTTTCATTTCCTTTTGCTCCCCACCCGCTGTCCCTGCAGGATGACACACAGGTCCCAAAGGACCTGCCATGCCCTTTCCTTCCCAACTCACCCAGACCAGAGATAAGGGAAGGCTCTATGCCTCGACTGCCCTGTGTGGGCACCTAAGGGTAACCACAGGCTTACCCTGAGGAGGTAATTAGAGGTGTCCTGTACTCTTGTTTCATCATAATGAATAACTATTGACAAATAAAATTGGCTTACCTTCAGGGGAAAAAAAAGTTCCACAAGTCTTCAGAGTAATATTAATGAGGTTACCTATATTGTTAACCACTTGAGAAAATGTGAATATTTGAACAGCTCTCCACTATATCAAACCTAATTGTGATTTTGGTCCCATTATGTTGGTTGATGCATAAATATGGCAGAGATATTATCCTTGCCCTGAATGGTTTTTACAGCTAGGGGCATTATTGGCTTTTTGGAGAGGCAGGTCTCAACAATATTCAAAGAGACCCATGCATGCTTGATAGCAATGCCCATAAATACACATCAGCTATCATGTTTACATCTGATTGACCACACTATTGTACTTTTGGGGGCCATGTGATGCATATGTGTTCAAGAAGACTAGATGGATTGCAAAGACAGAGAATGTTAGTGAGAAGAAAGTGACTATGCATGGGAAAGATACCCATCATAACTACTCGTGTATGTGACCCCTTTGCATCTGCTACTCAGAAAGTTCAAAGAAACCAGCAATAGTACTTGTTTTACATTTCTTATAATGAAATACATATCATTTTCCAATATGCTGTTTGTAGTCATCTACTTAAATCACACTGGCCATTGACTGCTTTCAGGCAGCCAGCACACTGGTGATGACCAATTTCAGGGATTTTTCACACCAGCACCTGCCATTTTTTTTTTTTTACTCCCCCTCACACTGCTCGTCGGCTGAGATCTGAGTGGCATCTCTACCCTTTTGGCAGCTGCAGGTGTGTTCAGTGCCCAAAAATGGTGGCTGAAAAAAAAAATCCTAGTAAGGGTGCAGAGCTAATCTGAAGTGCAGGAGCTGGCAGATGGAGGGGGTGAATCAGGAGTAGGAAGGGGAATGACTGTGGGGCACATAACTGATATAGAATGAGCTGCAGGCTCCTGATACCTGCTCTCCCACCTCTGCTGGCTCCCACCACTTCAATTTAGCTCTCCCAGATTTGCACAGCCTGCTCCAACCTCCCTTCTCCCACTAGGCATAGCCATATTCCCCAGGGCTCCAAACTAGCTTATCACTGCAGCCCTACCAGACCAGCCAGTTCAACCCCCCTCCACCCACCCCGGTAGCCTAAGTAAAAGCACATTCACATTCACACCTCTTCCTCTTCAGGTGTCCTTCTGATTCTCAGTGCCCATTAATATTGGGGTTTTTATGGTCAGATCCAGCCTAACATTACATGCTGAACAGAACAATTTGCCACCATCTGCATGAAAAGTGCCTTCAGGTTACTGTTTCATGTTCCATGGCAAAAATGTGCGTGGCCTTGTGTACTGCCTTCCCACTCATCTTGATCTTAAATTCAGCAGCCAGCTTCACTGTGCTTCATTCACTATCTCTTTAAATCCCTTTGGTGTCCCATGCTGCCCAGTGATTGGGTTAATCAGCACTCTGATTGGCTGGATCACTGAGCTTAGCTGTACTTTCTGTGGGGTCCCTGTGCTGTTGGAAATGGTTTCCTTTGCTCCGTGCTTGCTGTTGCTCACTTCTGATAAGTATTTCCGCCCCCCCCCCAGGTGATTTTGCATCATTGCAGGCAGGAAGGGTTTTTCCCTATTCTTCAAGTAAAGTGGGGGATTTCCTGCTTTCCCTGAAAAATGGAAAAATTCGATTGAAGTACATCCCTACCTGTTTGTAATTAATTTTATTTCTCAAAATACCTCATGGACTTTATCCCCTCTTGATTTTTCTTCCACCATCCTTGGTTCTTTGAACATCCTTGGTTCTTTCATTCACAGTGTGTTTGCTGTGAGCCCTGGATTTGGGGCACCTTGTTTTTGTGGCCCCAGGAGCAGAAAGGATACACACACAGCAACATGCCTCCCATTTTTGCTTTGCTCAAATGGAAAGAAATGCTCTGCACCTGTCCAATACTTGAGCTGGCAAAAGCAAGGGACCCATCTCTAGCCAGCTGTGTAAAAGTAGGAAATAATGGTGCCAGAAAAGCCATTGCACAGCTAGAAATGTAGAAAAAGATTGCTGACATTCCCTCACTGCTTTCTGCTGCCACACTGTTGCCTTGCTCTTTATACTGAGTTGGTATTACACCTTTTCTTAATTACAGAGCATTGTACAATAAATACAACTCTTAAAAGGCAAAATTAATAAAGTCATATTTTCCCAGAAAAGCTATAAGTCCTCCCCAAAGTTACAGCAATATAATTATGAATTCAACTAGAGGGGAAAAAATGAAACATTTTTAAACTGCCCATGTCCTCCACAGATCCTGCTGAGACATGCAAATTCATGTCCTACTGCAATCAGCCTGAAATGGTAACATTTTACTGCTTCCTTTAATTAAGAAATGGTAAAACAAATAGCATAATATCCCTTTGGGCCCTATTACCAGAACATTTACAGACCCTTTTCACAGATATTTGCTCCATGTCATGCTACAAATCAAGCATAATGCTTAATTTTCTTGCTTCCCTGTATTACAAAAGTGTAATGTGCGGCACTGAGGTAAGAAACAGAGTTTATCATCATGAACCCAGGATTTTGAAACAGCCAGCCTACACACACGTATACATTTTTCTAGACATCCTCTCTCAGCCTTGCAGCTAGGGCAGGATATAAATCTAAAAAAAATAATTAATAAAACCTGATGATTCATGACATGAGTGTCTTGTACTGGTACAGGAATGGATGAGGACACAGGAATGAATAAAGTACTTGCAAGCTTTTTAAATGCTGACAATTAAAGAAAATACTTCTCGGCAGAATAAAATAGAAAGGTTAGTTCTACATACGTGCAATGCAGTTCACAAAGTGGTGCTCAATTATGTACTGATTATTAAAACACCTAAAACAGCTCTTTGTGTATACTATAAGATAATTGCATTACTTCAATCCACATATTTCTGTGTGCTTCCTCTTGCTATCTGTATCAAAACATAGTATGATGTGTAATGATAACTCTATGTGATCCATTACCATATATTTTTGATGGTTTTTTGTGTCCTATTCCTTTTCATCTAGTGAGCTGGCCAACTAATTTCTAGAAGCCTCTCCTACACCTCCCCCATTTGTAGGTCCCTGGAGCAACATTTAGGGACCATAATCTTTGGGGCTGTTATGATAAGCAAGTACAAAATTAATCCAATTTCTGTATTTTCATATAGTTAGTGCAATTATAAATATTGTATATTAAATAATTGCACACAATCTTAATGACAGGAGGAGCAGTTGTGTGTGTGTGTTTGCATAATCACTTCTCCAAAAACCAGGGAAAAAAGCATTATTTTACACGTATGTAATCATGCCTTTTTCTCCTTTTGAGGTGCATAATTTTTACACAGTTTATACATTTTGACAGGAATCATTATATGATTTTACAAAGTCCTGATATTAGAAGAGTAAAATGGCTATGGCTGTGCATGTTTGTGTGGACTTGCATACATGTGCATACATGTACAGTTCATGAATTATACTTTTTATTTCTTAAAGAAAAAAGGAATAGCTGCTAGTACATTTCTAAAAAAAAAGGCCATTAAGCATTGTATAAGGGATTATACAGGGTGCAACTACACATGCAATTAATTTGAAGCAATAAACTCCAGAGCAGTTTGAGCCAGAATAATCTACTCCCAGGTGCAGTGTCTATGCCTGGGACAGAAGCAATTTGAGCTGGGGAAGAGCAGTTTACACCAGGCTCTAGGTGGAGGCCCAAGGTTGGGGCACAAAGGTGCTGAAAGTATAGAGTCATGTGGCTAGGCAGTAGGCAGGAGTCTGTTTCCTTGCTGGCTGGGCTGACTGGGCACAATTTACACCCATGATCAGCACCTACATGTGTGTTTAGTCCCTGACAGTACCGGTGTTAATTAGTTTACTGAGGCCTAATACCACTGCAGGTATAGACAGTGGGCACATCTCCATGTGCCCTAATACACCATAGTTACTGTGCATTAAGTTTATTATCTGTAATAGCAGGTACTACTTCAATGTGCAGTAACTAGCACTACTGCTCTGTAGCGCCGGTACCTGTCTTTTTAGTGACACTAATGCAATAGCACAGCTTTTGCCTTGATGTGCTCATGCATAGTAGAATTAGTCTACTGAGCATTTGGCGTCTTGTGTAGAGATGCCCAATGATGGTTTACTCTGCATCGAATTAGTCTACTGTGCAGGAAAGTGCATGTGTAGACACGGCCACTGTAAGTAAATTGAGAAGGAAGCTGAGATGGTTGCAATGATAGGCAGAGGTCCTCAACTTTAGGACAGCCAACTTCTGTAAGCTAAGGTTAGTAGGAGAGGCACTGGGGTCTTGGAGCTTCAATGAGATGGGAGTCCAAACAGTGGAAGCAAGGGGCTATCACCAAGGAGGATTACACCTCCATTGCTCGGGACTGCAGAGAGGCTGTTAGGAAGTCCAAGGCAGAGATGGAGCTAGGGCTAGCAACCAGAATTAAGAATAATAAAAAGTCCTTTTTCAAATACATAGGAAGTAAGAAGGCACAGGATAACATGGGGGCCCTACAGGATAGGCTTGGCAATCTGGTGATTGCAGCGAATGAAAAAGCTGACCTCTTTAATGAATTATTTGCCTCCATATTCCTGAACAGGGACTGGGACATCTCCCCCACTAGAATTGCAGATGGACCTGGGGAGGCACCGCCATCTCTAGGGTAAGGGATGACCTAGTTATGGAACTTATGAAGGGTCTGGATGTGTTTAAATCAGTAGGTTCAGATGCTCTTCACCCGAGGGTGCTGAGGGAATTGGCAGGTGTCACAGCAAGGCCCCTGGTATGGCTTTATGAGCACTCGTGGGACACTGGTCAGGTACCAGAGGATTGGAAAAGGGCCAATGTGGTCCCCAATTACAAGAAGGGGAGAAAGGAGGACCCAGGCAATTATAGGCCAGTCAGTCTTACCTTGGTCCTTGGGAAAATTATCAAGGAGCACATCTGCAAGGGCCCAGAAGGGGAGGTAATGCTCAGAGGCAACCAACATGGGTTCATTGAGGGCAGGTCCTGCCTGAGTAACCTGGTTTCTTTTTATGATCAGGTCACAAAGTCCCTAGACAAGGGTGTTGGGGTGGAGGTCCTCTTCCTGGACTTTAAGATGACCTTAGACACAGTTTCCCACCACATTCTCTTAAAAAAACTACATGCCTGTGGCACTGATGCCTACACAGTCAGATGGATGGAAAATTGGCTAGATGGTCACACCCAGAGAGTGGTGGTGGATAGGTCATTTTTGACTTGGAGGGATGTGGGCAGTGGAGTCCCCAGGACTCAGTCCTGGGGCCTGTACTGTTCAACATCTTTAACAGTGATCTGGATGTGGGTGTGGAATGCATGCTGTCCAAATTCACTGATGACACCAAGTTGTTGGATGAGGTGGGCACACTGGAGGGGAGGGACAGAATCCAGCTAGATCTAGACAAATTACAGAGGTGGGCATATGAGAATAGGATGCAATTCAGCGCAGACACCTATAGGCTGGGGAACACCGCTCTTGTCAACACGGTGGCGGAAAGGGATCTTGGAATCATTGTTGACTCCAGGATGAACATGACCCGCCAGTGTGAGGAAGCAGTCAGTAAGGCTAACTACACCTTGTCGTGCATCTATAGATGCATCACAAGCAGGTCCAAGGTGGTGATCCTTCCCCTCTATGCGGCACTGGTCAGGCTGCAGTTGGAGTACTGCATCCAATTCTGGGTGCTGCACTTCAAGAGGGATGTGGCTAGTATTAAGAGGGTCCAGGGGAGGGCCACTCACATGGTCAAGGGGCAGTGGGGCAGGCCCTACTCAGAGAGGCTTAAGGACGTGAACCTATTCAGCCTCCACAAGAGAAAGCTGAGAGGGGGTCTGGTGGCCATTTACAAACTCACCAGGGGGGACCAGCAGGAATTGGGGGAGGCTCTCTTCCCCTGGGCACCACCTGGGGTTACTAGGAATAATGGCCACAAATTGTTAGAGAGAAGGTTCAGGCTGGACATAAAGAAACATTACTTTACAGTTAGGGCTGCAAGCTCTGGAATGGACTCCCTAGTGAGGTGGTACTCTCTCTTACCTTGGGGTCTTCAAGAGGAGGCTGAACAAATATTTGGCTGGGATGATATGACCCCGGCACCCATTCCTGCCTGGGGCAGTGGGTAGGACCTGATGATCTGTTTAGGTCCATTCCAACCCTAAGCACTATAATACTAGATTAGATATTAGGAAGAACTACTTCATGGTAAGGGTGGCCAGAGCCTGGAATAGGCTTCCCAGAGAGGTGGTGCTCTCACCTTCCCTGGAGATCTTCAAGAGAAAACTGGATAGGCACCTGGCTGGGGTCTTATGAACCCTGCCATCCCCAGTGCTCCTTCTTACCTATGGCAGGGGGTCAGACTAGATGATCTGTCTAGGTCCCTCCCAACTCATTGATTCTATGATTCTATGATACTGTGATATTACCATATACTGAAGTGGTTCTATGGGACAATTTGGGCCATATTCTACTCCTTAATAGGTGTCTACAGCCTGCTATTGTGGTTCAGTAGTAGAAACCATGTATGCCACATGGGAGACCCAGGTCCAATTCCTGCAGGTGCATATAACTACAGTCTTTGAGGCACTGAACATCTGGACTCAGTCTGTGCTTTGGATTCAGTCTCAATGGTGTAAAGGGAAGGATGGATGATCTGCACAAGTTCCACTCCTATCTATATGTATTTATTAAAGGCATGGGTTACCTCTCACACACACACCATGATCGAGAAAGATCAACAGTTGCCCACTACTACAGTTGGAGATAGTTTAACATTGGAGTTAGTTACTTTACACTGAGGAGCACAGGTGTTCTAGAGACAGTTTTCAGAGGATATCCAAGAAAGAAAGGACATTTAGAAAGTGGGAGGAGGCGGCTGAGTGGAGCCAGGCCGGGTCTCGTCCCACCCAGGCCCCTACTTGGCCCAGCCCCCCGGGCAGAGAGAGAGGTAGGGGGGTACTCACCAGTCCCCCTCCAGTGGGGCAGGGTCCCCCAAATCCCAGGCAGGGCCCCCCCTTGCCCAAGAGCAGTTCGACAGCAGGCCCACCACACATGAGCGTAGTTTAAAAGGGCCTGCCAACAGCAAAAAAGCCTCAGTTAGGTACTCCAGAGTGGTGAAAGTCATGTGGGTGAAAGCCCGCTGCACTTCCACCCACCCAAAGCCCCGCAGAGACCTCCCAGCAGCTGCGGAGCCCCTCGCTGACCCCAGCACAGCCAGACTTAAGCAGGGCCTATGGTGAGAGGGGGTTAACCCTTAGAGAGTGGGAGGAGGTGGCTGAGTGGAGCCAGCCCGCGTCTCGCCCCGCCCAGTCCCCTACTTCGCCCAGACCCCCAGGGAGCCACGCGACTGGAGCCGCATGAACAGGCTGCACAAACAAGCGTGTTTGTCTGCCAGTGCATGAGTTAGCACAGAGTTCGTGCAGGAGGGTGTGCAGGAGGGCCCATAAGCCCCTAGAGAAGGTAGACTCACGCCCAGCCTGCCTACCAGCAGCATGATGTGGATGGGCATGCGCTGCACCCTGAGTGTCCCCCTGGGCTCTACATCCTCCCCCCCTCTGGCACCTCAGAGACCACCACCCAGATGGAGCCCGTGGTTCCTGGCTCCATGCAGACAGAGCCTCTGGCTCTTGGCTGGGGGGGTTGCCTGTCCCTTTTTCAGGCTCTGGGACCAGCTCCCCTTGTGAGGTCTGCTTCCTACTGGGGTCTTTGCGTGCCATCAGGGATTGTGAGCAGGAGATTGACTCCTACTACCAGGCCCTTCTCCCCTGGGAGCAGGAGGGTAGACCACAGTCTCCCTCCAGGACAAGGGAAGACTCTGGGACCCCCATTCTGTTCAGTCAGGGGGATGGACCAAGGTGGTCAAGGGCTTTAAGGCCTGCTGCACCAAAGCCCCTGCCCCACTGGAACTTAGCAACAGGTATGAACCTCTTGTAGCCCCAGCAGAGCCTGCTGAGTTGCCAGCTCCCGCAGGCAACACAGGCCCAACTGCAACTGCCATCCCGCTCTCCCCAAGACAAAAAGTAAAGTGTTTGTTGTGAGGGGGACTGAGGGGGTAATCTGCTGCCCTGACCCCTTATCCTGGGAATTCTGCTGCTTCCTGGGGGCTCGCATCTGAGACATTGCAGAGAAGATCCTAAGCTCCTCCAGCCCACAGACCACTATCCCATGCTTCTTATTCATTTGGGCACCAATGACACAGCTTGGAACGCTCCCAGCAAGGTCATGAGGTGCTACAGGGATTTGGGAGTGGGGATAAAGGGCATGGGGGCACAGGTGGTGTTCTCCTTGATCCTTCCAGTCTCAGGGTATGGGCTGAGGAGGGAGAGGAGGATCCACGTAGTCAACCAAAGACTGCGGCACTGGTGTCATCGGGAAGGCTTTGGCTTCGATGACCACAGCCCGCTCTTTGGTGAGAGAGGCAGGGAGATGCTGGGAAGAGATGGGCTCCACCTCTCTCTGCTGGGGAGGAGGGTCTTCTCAGACAGACTGCTTGACCAGCTCCACTGGACTTTAAACTAAGCCCGCTGGGGGATGGGGGGACTACTGCCACTGCTGGCCAGCTGAGCAACACTTGCAAAGCCAGCAGGCCAAGGCACTTAAAGGAGCCCACCCATGCCCCAGCCCTGGTACAATCTGTGGGCAAGGCAAGAGCCCCCAAGGGGACACTTGCCTGCCTGTACACAAATGCCAGGAGCTTGGGGAATAAGCAGGAGGAACTCATCCTCCTGCTTAACGCAAATAATTACAACATCATAGGGATAACAGAGACCTGGTGGGACTCCACCCATGACTGGACCATGGTTATAGAATGCTATTCCCTGTATAGGAGTGATTGAGTAGATAAAAGGGGAGGGGGCGTAGCTCTCTATGTTAAGGAAAGCTACGCATCCCTGCAAGCTGAGACTGGTGACCAGGGTGGATGACTGGAGACCCTCTGGGTTAAATTCTATGGGGAACATGGCACAGGGGACACAATGGTGGGAGACTACTACAGAGCTTGACCAGGAGTTTGCTTGGGAACTGGCTGAGGCCACATGCTCCAGAACCATGGCTGTCATGGGTGACTTCAATTACCCAGACATCTTGTGGGAGGATCACTCAGCAAAATCTGAGCGGTCACAAAGCTTCCTATCATGTGTGCATGATCTCTACCTGACTCAACAAGTCTATGGGCCAATGAGAGGTAAAGCGCTGCTCAGCCTGGTACTGGCTACTGGGGATGACCTAATCAGCGACCTAGTGATCAGTGGGAAGCTGGGTGATGGCGACCACAAGCTGATCATCTTCACCATCTGCCATAAAGCTGGCAAGTCAATCAGCAACAAGGAAGTCCTTCACTTCAGGAAAGCTGAATTTGACAAGCTCAGGAGGCTTGTCAGTCAGGCCCTAAGGGACCACGACCCCAGGGAGAGGGGAGTTCAAGAAGAGTGGTTGCTCCTCAAGGGAGCGATCCTCAATGCACAAGTTAATTCTATTCCATCTCAGAGGAAAGGCAGTAAGAGGGCACAGCAGCCCTCCTGGCTCTCCAGGGATCGAGCAGACCTTCTAAGGCTAAAAACAAAGGCTCACAAAGGATGGAGGACAGGATTCACCTCCAAGGAGGAATATTCTGCATTGGTCCAGTCCTGCAGGGAGCAAACCAGGCAAGCCAAGGCTGCAGCTGAACTCCAACTAGCCTTGAACATCAAGGAGAATAAAAAGTTCTTTTTTCAGATATGTGGGGAGTCAGAGGAAAAGCAAGGGCAACATTGGACCCCTGCTGAACCAAATGGGACAACTGACAACTGACGCCCAGGAAAAAGCCAACCTAATAAATGGGTACTTTGTGTCAGTCTTTCATCAGTCCCATGGGACACCCATGCCCACTATGGGACAGGGAGGTTCGGGTGAAGGAGATCCCCCACT